AAGCAGCAGAGATCTACTGCAAGCCAAAGACAACAATGATCTAGACCAGGAGTCATCTAGGGAGAGGAGAGAGTGAAGAAGTTCCATTGTGCAAGTTGAAATCCTTCCACTATTGGATCTATTTCATTGGATATCGCCTAGTATCTTAAGAACATAAGAATCATATCTAAGGTTATCTTGTCCATCATAACAGAGAGGTCAACCAGATGTCTATGGGAAGCCTACAGTATGACGTGAACATAACAGCACCCTCCTGCTTGCAATCTCCAGCCCTTGGTCTGCAATGGTATGCTGTCTCTGATACTGGAGGTAATAGAGAGAGAGTTTGGATTTGATATCCCGCTTTATCACTACCCGAAGGAGTCTCAAAGTGGCTAACATTCTCCTTTCCTTTCCTCCCCCACAACAAACACACTGTGAGGTGAGTGGGGCTGAGAGACTTCAAAGAAGTGTGACTGGCCCAAGTTCACCCAGCAGCTGCATGTGGAGGAGCAGAGACGTGAACCCGATTCCCCAGATAATGAGTCTATCGCTCTTAACCACTGCACCACACTGGCTACACTACACCACACCACACCACAATACAGTCATGTGGATAATTTCCCAGAGGTAGAAAGACTGAAATCTCTCACACAGAATGCCATGTAAAAATACATGAAGAAGATGGTCACTGGACCACAGTAAAGGTATGTAGGACTGTGGCATTATTTCTTATAAGATGCAGAAAATGTTGAGGTTTAATTCATTAAATACAGATTGCTATCAGTGTATTTATACAAAGAAGATGTGTAACAAGAAAGTTACACAGAAGATTAAATTTCCTGGGTACCTCGTAACTTGAATGTAACTGTAGAATTACTCCAATTTAGCTCCGTATTATCAAAATAATTATTGTCCAATAAACTTCTCCATTCCCTACAATCACAGATAATTAGATAGAACTTGTAACTGAGTTTTCAGGAATGTGGCCTCTGTTGATATTACAAGTTGGTTTCCTTCGAGGCATTTGCTTTGCTTCAAATGGAATTAACAAGGCTTTGCATCTGTGAATTGAAATTTGACTTACACATATTAAAGAACAGTTGCTAATGGGGTTAATGGAGGTGACATCAATGAGTGGAGCTGTTTTTAACAGAGTCCCATAAGGATCCACGATTGGTCCAACACCATTAATCATATTATTAATGATCTGGGTCGCAATGTAAAAGTCTTGGTGATAAAAACTGGGAGGCAACAGAGTATAGTGAGAAAGATAAACAGTTTTTATGTAGGACTGCATTATCTACTGCAGTTTTGAATCAAGCAACACTGAATTCAAACCAGACACATCTGAGATCATAATTCTAAAGGGAGAGAAGGTTAAAGAGACCTGGATACAGGTTTTGACTACAGGATGAGAGAGACTTTTGAAGCTCTTAGTGAGTATTGCTGGCCTCAGATATACTTGAAATCCAATATTGTTTTTATTATGTTTGTTCCATTATTTTGCCTTTAATTTTTTTAAAAAATTGTTAGCATTATTATTGTGGTGGCTTGCCCTAAAAACGATGGGTCATAAATAGTTTAAATGACATTATGTTAAATCAACCTGTTGATGACAATATGTGATGTTTCATAATCTAAAAATTAACGTACTTACACAACCTCCAGGCCATCACCATTTTGTGGGAGGGATTCAATTGCATACCATAACTTCAGGTTTGCACAATTAAAGGGGGTTAAAATGCTCTGTCTCTCATAATCCACTTAAAAACAAACAAACCCCAAACACCAGTGATGTGGAAATGCATTGAAAAGCATGGGATGAATAAATGATTAATGGGAAGATGTGTAAACACCGGACAAGCAGATCAGGCATGTTGGGTAGCATCTAGTGAAAACTGACCGCTGATGGAAAGGAATCTGTCAATAGAACAAGAAAGCAGGCAATTTTCACTGATCTCCCATTCCCCCTACAAAGCCCATATCCCCTCTAAATCTGCTCTACAGCGGTACCTTGGGTTAAAAACTTAATTTGTTCTGGAGGTCCGTTCTTAACCTGAGACTGTTCTTAACCTGAGGTACCACATTAGCTAATGGGGCCTCCCGCTGCTGCCGCTGTGCTGCCACACGATTTCTGTTCTCATCCTGAAGCAAAGTAGTTAACCCGATGTACTATTTCTGGGTTAGCAGAGTCTGTAACCTGAAGCTTCTGTAACCTGAAGCATCTGTAACCCGAGGTATCACTGTAATGAGTTGGGGCAGCCTCTGGAGCAGATTTAGAGGGGCATTTTAGGGGGAGGAGAAGGAAGGGTAGCTGAAAGTTGTCCCTCTCCCTGTTCCACTGATGGATATCACCCATTGTATACAGTGTCTCCCCTCTTGGAAAAAGTAGGGTTCACAAAACGTGCTAAGGCTAGATAAATGCATCAGGTATTAACATGCATTAAAGGATGTATTTAAATACACACTCAAAAGCAACGTTTGTGTGTGCAAATTAATGCACGTATGGGACAGACCCGTTTTATGAGTGGTGTCTTATGAATGTGACGCAGATGAGAAACTGGAACATTTGGAACATTTAGGCAGTGCAAAAGCTGGAGGAATAACTGAGTTTTATACCACACATTATTCCAGGAGGCACAGGTTAATTCTTTCTGGATCAGAATTCACAAAGGTCATAGTCATCAAGTATCCCTAGAAAAATACCCCAATCCAGATGGCGAGCTAATGCCCCCACCCACATTTCTCATCATATAGGTGAGCAAAAAGCAATGCAATGGCTACTAGCTTTTTTCTAATGGTACTCACCAGTACAGAGTACCATCAAATGCTGACTACTGTAAGAATAGGGTGTTGGAGTAGATGTGCCTTTGGTCTGATCCACCAGGACTCGTCTTATGTTCTTAATGCCAAACAACTTCCATAGGACTGCTATTAGGCTGTTTTTAAAAGGGAGGATTTCTCCCCCAACTCCAGCTCTGTTGATCAATCCACCAATTCTTAAGCATTGTATTTGTGTTTAAGTTTTTTGGAAACTTAGCCTGGAAAAAGCTGCATAACTGGAATCTTTTAATAAAATAGTAGAAAGTGCATTGTCATAAAATTAGCAATAAAAAGGAATAACTGGAAGCAGGAAAAAACTGACAACGCTATGGGCCAGATGTTTTAGGGAGGTCTGTGTGTTGAGGGTGTGGATTATACTGTGTTTTCTTTACCGCTGTTAACACTGTGCTCAGACTGTAGGCGGGGTGGTAGCGGAAAAATCTGGGTCTCAGATATGTCTGATCTGTGCTCATGGCAATCGCTGCAGGGTAAAAGTAAACAATTTCTCCAAGCAAATGTGCTAGAGAACAAGAAAACATAAAAGTCTCAGCTTGTAACTTTATATAATTTTCATGAGAGCAGCTGCAGCTTATGGTAATATGTAGGGTGGCAATAAAGAAGGAATAAAAACAAAACAAAATGATTCTTCAGCCTCTTGGTGTTCCTATATTATTGAGTACATTGATGGAAACTCTGCGGAGATGGATAATTTAAATAACATGCAAATGTTGGTTACTGAGGACTGGGCACTCTACTACAAATCAACATGTGCATCTGTTGAACAGGTGCTTGGAATAAACCAGTTTGGCACCGTGGGGGTGTGACCTTGCAAAATTCTCTAGGTCAAAACCGTTAGTGGTTCAAAAAAGGTGGGTGCAAAATGACATTGCTAAAATGGATTTTTGGTTTTATTTATTTTGTCTTCTGGAATACCACACTGTTACAGAGCACCATAAAACCCTCATAGCAGAATTACTCGCTATGAGGATAGTTCTAATATCTAGAAAGTTGGTTTTGGATCAGAGACATCATTCAAATCTTCCTTTTGCTCTGCATTCATTGCTATTTGTCTGTCTGAAATATTTATATCCAGCCTGTCTTCCTAAAACCAGGACAGCTTCTAATGATTAATAAAAAACTTTTGTTAAAAAAGCAAAACATAATGTAAGCTAAATAACAGGGAAGAGAGGGAAGAGCATGTGCCAGTTTGTCCCCCCCCCTTTTTTTTGGAACTTAGCCTCTAAAATATGACATTACCATGCAATTTCGCTGAAAACAAAGTGCACATAAATATCAATATTTTACACAAATCATGTGTTGTATTTTTCTTTTAAAGCAATGCATCTGCCAATCTTAATCTCTATCAAATAACTTTGCTTAAAATTCATTTTTAAAATATTTAATTTGGAGAATTTGATGGCACTGATCTCTCATAAGTTTTACTCCCCTGGCTCCCCACCTCTCTGCAGTGGTGGCTACAGTGCATTTGGATAGGGAGGGAGCCAGAACCAATAATGGCAACTCCAACTAATTCTAGTTTTGTCCCCATCCTCCTCCCAGCTCACTTCTGCATGGGCAGCACTGAGACCAAGGTGGAGGAAGCTGACAGGTTGCAAGAAATAAGATAGTCAGGTGGGGGCTCGCTGAGGACAGATTGAGATTGATGGGGCAGTGCCCCATTTGTCCTAATAGACCAGCCTCCACTGCTGCCATGCAAGGTGAGATTAGCACTGTCTTTGGATTTCACAATTTCTTTCTCTCCCCTCCCCTCATGTGGAAGGTAATGCTGAAATTGGGAGATCCTGATGTTACTTGACCTTGGAATCTCAACTATCTTGGTAGACAAAGTTTTTTCAGTGTTGGGAGCAGCAGGGCAATTCACAACAGAAAAAAATACAAAATGAGAATGCAAAATAAATAATAAGACAAAAACAGCCAATGTTTTGATATGGACACACTGATAAACGTGAAAATCCCATGTATTTTTCCTGTGTCAAAACCACATACACTCTGTGCATTGGAATCAATCCTCAGAAAGTAAATGAATCAGAGTCAAAGTGAAATGGAGCATTAGTGTGTAGTAAGGTTGAGTTGAAATCCTACCTCAGGGTTTCTCTTTCTCCAAAAGTGGGCATCAATTTTCTATGGGGGCGGGGGAGAAATTTCTCTGAATTTTTTAGGAAAGGGTTACCACTTACCTTGTAGTTCAGTAGTAGAGCATCTGCTTTGCATGCAGAAGGTTCCAGGTTAAATCCTCAGCATCTCCAGGTAGGGCTTGGAATGTGCCGTTTGAAACCCTGGAGGAATGCCACCAGTTGGTGCTAAAATAAATGTACTAATGATCTGACTTTCTTTGCTCCTTCATTTTCCAGGAATTATGGTTGACAAGAAGCTGTGGAGAGGGCATCATGCTGCTCCCCATCGCTCATACATCCTTGAATCCCTTGGGAGCAGTGTTTGTTGTGTTAGGGAACTCTGGTTTTTTTGACCAATATATTCACATGTTGTGTTGAATTTCATTTACACCAGTGGGCATGGTGTCACACAACTGACATAGCTGAACAACATCACTACTCCCTCACCCTTTCCTCACATGCATGCTTCTGTACCCCCACAAAAACATCAGGAACTAGCTGTATACCAGCATGCTGACCAAAATTTCACCACTTCCACAATATTCTGGGCTAAGGGGCTGCAAATAGATTAGTTTTCTAGAATCAAATAACATGGAAATGAGTGCTAAGCATATGCTATATTCATTCATTTCCCAGAAGTGGCTTTTATGTCCTGTGGAAGCTCAAATAGAATGCAGAAATTGCCAGTTAGCGAAACACTGGAGGAATGGAATAAACTGTTGTATGAATGCAACCCTGTCTAGAGGGGCTAGAGACTCTAAAGTTGAATTTGAAAATAGCAACCTAGAGTGGTATAAGAGAAAAGTTACACAAGCTGTGTGCATAGGGGGGGAATGTTCCATCTCGTCAGTATGGCCAGACAACTGGAATTCTTACTGCTCATTAAGAGACTCCTGATCTCTTACTGTCCCATCAGGAAAAGGATACTTCCAAAATACACAGTATATATGGTTTTGCAAATGAGTTAGTTGAAAACCTTTCTGGGGGAAAAAAATTATAATTTAAATTCAGTCGGCTCCTGTATAAACATAGAATGAAATATAAGCCCCCCTTTGCCTTCAAACTTGCTACAGCACAGCTGGAATTTTAGCAAGTACTTTTGACATTGTGTCATCGTCATCTGCTGTCGCTTGTGCATTGGTGCCATTCTGAGTGCATTGGCTTGGATGGAATGCAGAATCTGGGCCCACTACAAGGAATGCTTGTTCAGGTGTTCAGACAGGAGACAAAATGATGCTGACAGGTTGGTGTCAGTCAAGGAACTTATACAAATGTATCTGAAGTGCGACACTCCCTTCAACACACGCGTGCACATACACATGGTTAACTGGTATCTAATAAGTGTATGAGCAGACTTGCCTTGTCTGGTCCAGAAATGCAGGACCACTTTTCTCCTAGTTCAGGTATGCTGAGCTTTCTTTGAGTTTAGGAAACTGGATTTCCTTTATCACTTTCTTTTGTGCCTAGTTGGCTACTCTTGTTGATTGTCATATTGGAAAGGGCAGGCAGAGAGAGGGGGAGAGAGAGTTCTTGAAGGGGAGTTAAAAATCCAAGTGGAAATTCTTGAAAGCCTATCCTCACCTCTTCCATCCTCAGTTGCTGTGAAATTAGGGGACAAACTCAGATTCTCCAGTCTTGAGGCTAAACCTGAACAGACCTTTGCCCCTGCCAGTTTTCTTGTGTTTAACCACTGGCAAATTCAGAACTGCAGGGTACCTTCATGAGAGCCACCGCCATACTCCCTCACATGTTCCCACCATTCTATACAACTTTCTAAGACGATACACTAATCTTTTGATGACTTTGATGTGATATATTTCAGCTAAATCTATTATTTTTGGTGCACAAACATAGACAAATGATTTTGAGGGCTCCAATGTCTTCTTCCAGAGAGTTGTGTTTTCCATGAAGTTCCATTGTGTGAAAGAGAACTTCCACACCATTCTCTTGAAACCGAAGCACCTTGTGTTTTTATTTTTCCTAAATGCTTAGCCATGGGTCATAGCAGCTAACAAATCCCACCTTTCATGTAGCTTGGAGACAGGGACCCTCCTGAACAAATAGTAATGAATCACTCACCCCCAGGACCACTGTACCCCTGGTCTGAACACTTGGTGTGAAGCATTTTAGGTATTAGCTTGTTTGTTTTCTGCCTCGGTCCTAAACTAACTCTGTGTGTGTGTGTGTGTGTGTGTGTGCACGCGCATGTGTGTCTCTTTTTTCCTCTCTCTCTATATGAAGTTTGCACACTAGTTATTTATTTCTAGCCTGCTCATGAGGGTCCTGAAGGGAGCTCAACATATAAAATGCTAAGAAGTGTCATAAAAACCAAACAAAATATGCATACAAAGAGAATACAATCTAATAAAAACACAGTCATAAAATATATTAAAAAATAAAGTCAATGGCAGGAATCCAAGAGCATTTATTTATCACATTTTTGTCCCACCATTGTTTAAAAGAAGTTGAGAAGGCATACATAAAATGCCAAGGTAGTCTCCCATCCAGCCATCAACTACTATACCAGAACATACTTTCCTTCACCCAGACTGATGCACAATGTGCCATTAGATCATATTCCTGAGGCCAAGTTAAAACTATTCTCTTCATCCTGAAAGGCCTGGTGGAACAAGAAATTGCAATCCCCCCCCCTCTTTAAAAGATCCTTCTAAATTAACCGAATCCCCTTTGTGTCTTTGGAAAGAAAATCCATAGAAAATGCACCTATATGAAAAAGATCTTTGGTTTCATTCAGCTAAATAAGTGTGCAAGCTGAATGACTTCCCCTTGTGCAATAGGACTTCCCCTCCTCTCATCCACCTGCACATGCCCCATGTCATCCTCAAATCTGCTCTGGTGGCTAGATTGAAAAGAGTTATACCTGCTGAAATTCCCTCTTCCACGCAACTATTACAAGTGCATAGGAACACATGTTGTACAATAGTTAAATGCAACATGTGAACACCTTTTATGTGTGTAACCACCGCAATGCATGTATGAACAATGGAAAAACACCTGCATGGGGCTAATCTGTGATCTGGCCAGAGTATAGGTGATCCAAATACAAAATTATGTGTTGTGGTAGAAGGGAGGCTGACCTTCCCAACTCTCAAAATAGCACCCTGATAGCTACAGGCTGCTACTTTTGCTTTAGTAAAAAATGGGAGCATAGAGAATCTATGTCAGGGCTGGGAAAGCTGCATCTCTCCAGATGTTGCAGGACTCCAACTCCTCTCAGCCCCGGCTAGCATAACCAATGGTCAAGGTTGGTGGGAGCTGAAGTTCAACATCTGGAGGAGTGCAGGTTTCTAGTCCTGATCTATGTCGCTGTTGAGTTAGAACAACTTCTATCAAGGTTTTTGCAAAGCTGATTTTCTTCCCAGAAATGTGGAATGTGTATCTGATTTGTAACAGTTTATTGCATGAAGGGTTTTTTTGCTAGAAGCTTTGCTAGTAAAGAAACAATCTGGAAAACATGTGGGGCTAAAAGAATGAAGGAAGAACTGTTGCATACACATTGGTCAAGCAAACATTGATTATTAATTAATCTGTTCCCCTTCGACTCTATAAGCCAAGGAACACAGAAGAACTGTACCCAAACGTGTGAAGAAGCCAATGGGAATCATGTTGGAGTCAGAGAGTAGCAAGCACTGAAATGGTGACCCACAAAGCATGCAATGAATTAAAAGAAGTAAAAATAAATTGTGGGATTTTCACAGCGGCTGCATCTTTATGCAGTTTTGTGCCAGGGACTCTCAGCCATGAAAACCAACGATCCTTGGGGAGTCTGTAAGCTACTGTGTGACCCACACAAGCCATAGCTGATCCCACACGGTGGTGTGTTGTTGATTCATCTGCAAAAAAAAGACTGCATGTAATGTATAATTAAAATATAATGACTGATGTTTGTGGTTCAGCTGATGATGTTGTACAGATGTGCAGCCCAAATCATGAAGGGATGGCACCCTGGCAAAAGGGGGGGAAAGATAAATAAATGCAAAGCGGAAAATGTATTTATTGGCAAGAAGTCTTTGAGGCCTGAATTAAGTCATATGGTTAGAATAACTTACATTCACAAAACAAAGAAACACAATACTGATCCCTCAGTGACTGCCATAGCAATCTGCAGCTGAGTATTACAGATTAAAATAAAACCATGTTTTGAAATCTGCCTGCCCATAGATAGCTAGATGTCAGTGAGAAGCACTGGAGGCTTTTCTATTAGGTTGAATGGGGCACCACACCAGCAATTTCATTCGGACCTCAGCCACCCCCACCTTCCTAGGGCGTGGCACTGCTGTCTGTTTCCTCCTCCTTAGTCTCCACATTGCCCTTACACAGTTCAGCAAGGAAGGGGACAAAACTAGAATTAGTTGTTCTGCCTCTCATTGGCTCTGGCTCCAGCTACTGTTGGTCTCCCTGTCTTCCACCCTCCCAGTCCCAATAGGCACCAACCACTAGTGGAGAGATGGATTCTAGCTAGCCCAGCTTGCCCCCTGAGTTGTTTGTTTTCTGTTTGCAGGGAACTTCTGCAATCAGGGGAGCATTCAGTCATAGTAGCCTTTACCTACAGTTTGAAGTATCACAGCCAGGAACTAACATGAACGTGTGAAGGAAAAGAGGATTCAGGGCTGAGACTTCCGGGTTGGCGCCATCGGCAATGGCGGAATTCCTCTGACCGGGAGGAATTTGCCCTGTGGGAAATTGGGTCTGGCTGCCACGGCGAAGGCGGAGACCCGTAAAAATCACAGGCGGGAGAAGCCTGTGAACGTGGGATTCGGCGGGCACCTTCTGTGCCTCCCCTACTCGCGGGGAAACCCGTTTTCGGGGCTCCGGAGCAACGTGGGGTGAGTGGTGCAGTGCTTCGAATCGTCTGCTTCTTCCACGGAGCGAAGCCGCACAGCCGTTGCCGGAGAGCGCTGACTTTTTCCTGTGGACAATTTGACTTTAAAGTAATTACCCGTGAGTAGAGCTGAAACGGGAGAATTGGATTTCTAAAAGTATAATTTGGTATCGAAGCGGGGAGGTTCAAAACAGGAAGTCCACCTCCCCCTTTTGTAAATAGACTGAGGCAATGAAGTTGCCAGCTGGAGTCCTGGAAAGTCTTGTGTAAAAGATTAAATTTCCATCGGTAAAG